AGAGAGAGAGAGAGAGAGAGAGAGAGAGAGAGAGAGAGAGAGAGAGAGAGAGAGAGAGAGAGAGAGAGCTGCTTTGTTGCTGGAGAGAGAGAGAGAGAGAGAGAGAGAGAGAGAGAGAGAGAGAGAGAGAGAGAGCTGCTTTGTTGCTGTAGACGACGGCAATAGCTGCTAAAGCCAAAGTGTGCTCATATTGTGTGCATCTCACCTATCCTTTGTGAGGACTTTTGTAATGATGTATGCGACAGAGTCCTGAAGCGAGTGTCAGCCCTTGAATCATGTAGGGCAAACTCCGACTTGACCATTGCCTGTCACAGCCCCTCATTTATTGTCTCCTCTCCCTGATTTGAATATGCACCCAAGGCTTTAATTGTGATTGCTTTGTGGGAGCTATGACATCCTTTTGTGCAGCAACTACAAGAATTTTACGAAATGATTTAAAAAGGGTTATTGCTTTATTCTACTTGTAGCCTTGTAAGCATTTAGGTTGTATGGTATTTGCTTCTGTAAAAGAAGAGAACAAAATAGAAGACAACATGGAGAACACTGAAACCATTCTTTTGCCTTTTTCTGTGCATTTATTTGTTCTCTTTCCTTTCCTTGGCTTTCCTTCACATTTTCTAGTTAATTGAAATTTTTGGCGCCCCCTTTAATGTGCATATATATCGTCATGAATGTGATGCTTGTTTCATTTTCTTGCAAGCATTGACGAACTGACAGAAGCACACAATACAGTCAGTAAATCAGCCACATTCTGTCGACTATTAATAATTAACTCTTCAAGGCTGCATCAACAGATGACAGGGTTGGTGGTCACCAGCATATGACCATTCTACAAGTTCTAACGGTCACTGACAGTAAGCTCCAAGATGTCCGGCACTCCCCAGAATGGCTGATGTACAGCGACAAGGTTTGTCGGTCGCCCAAACACTGATCTTTGACTTCCCTCTTAACTGGGTGCGCACCCTTCGCAAAGGTCCGCGGATGGCGCAAGGAGACTGGGTCGCAGCCCCGGACGACACGGAAAGCATTGGCAACGTGGTGGAAGTACGGGCAGACGAATCCTTGGTCAACCTCTTCCATAAGGGAAAGGAAAATATCCTCACCAGGTACAAGTCGGACGCATTCAGGTTGTGGAAGAACGAGGAGTTGCATAGAATCCGTGTACGGAAACACGAAGACGAATGAATCGCATTTCGCCCCGGTACACCCCTTGTTGAACTCCCGTTCGACCCGGAGGAGTGGCGCTGGGCACCCGCACGAAGAACACTAGCCAACCCGAACATACCTCTCTACAGTCTGTCAGTGAGGACCACCTATCGGCTACTGCGGCCAAAGGTGAACCTTAAGGAGATAGTAAAAGCCCGCAGGATAGCCCACCTGAACATAAGCCAGGGGATCGCCCGCCCTATCCAGTGGTTTTCGACCATGAGATCTAAGCCAGCCAAATTTGTCTCGCTGCAGTGGCAGATATAACATCGCTGTCTCCCCCCGCACGTTCCTGGAGCAGAAGGGCCTGGCGCTCCCCTGGTGCAAATCCTATCATAACGCTTTCCCCTCCCGTAAGATCCCGGAGACCATAGAACACATCTTCCTACAGTGTCCAGGGGCGGTCCTCACTTGGCGCTGGTGGGATAGGATATGGAGCCTCCTGGGTACCGGATCGATTTGGCCATGGGATTGGAGGGCGCTGCTCTGTGAAGCATGGACCTCCCCCACAGAAAGCGATTTCGAAAACAACATGTTCCAGCTCCGGGGGAGAGCTGTTATTTGGGCACTTTGGAGGAAGCGCTGCACACATGCCATCGAGGGAGTTCGAATGGAAGGAGAAGAAGTAACGGAAATAATAAAACAGTATGTACAGCAAGAACTCCTCTCAAGATGGCAGAAGGTCAAAAACCAATTACAGACATATCACTCAAAGAAAGATATCCAACAGGCAATTAATCAATTTTCTAGGGGCTGGCTGGGTAGCCAAAAAGGGGGCTGGATTGCCCATATCCAATGGGAGGGTGGGTGGACAGTCCCCCGGACAAGAGCAGGTTGACCTCAGGAGAGACTATTGCATCTGCTTCAAGGAATGGACTAAAGCGGACCCAGGAGTGCCGTTGCACTCACCCGAAGAGTTCCCGGACCTGTTCCCTCCCCATCAACTGTCACTGGTGGATATGCAATGGTATGGTGTAGAATAGGCGCAGCTGCATTGAAGAGCCTTTTGGTAGACTGACGACCCCTTTGGAGGGCTTAGGACTGTTAGTGGAAACCCATAGAGATCAATAGTCGCAGTCTGCTCTGAGATACATGTAATACCTGACAGCCACAACCCATAGAGATCAACAGTCGCAGTTTGCTCTGGAGATACATGTAATAACTGACAGCCACACAGCTGAGAGGAGCAACCAGCGACGGAGTAGGCACACAAAGCCATACAGAGGATTAGTTACAACAGGCTAATTTAGCCAGGGGTGAGGGGCGGTACATCCTTCCTTTTGGAAGTAATCAATGCCGCCCACTCGGGCCTTCCAACCATAATGGGGAGGAGCGTGGGGTGAGTCAACTTTGTACTTTCCATTGACTTGCCGGGGGAATAGGAACCGGACTGTTGTTCCCCCCCCCTCCCCCCCAAAAATACCCATTTTGTTTAGTGCTATAGGCGCATTTTTGGTGTATCGTGTTGACTTTTGTGAAATCAATATATAGTCATATATATCGTCAAACAGATCTGCCCGGTAAACCATAGGCAGAGAGGGAGAAGAGGACAACAAACGAGGGGCTGCATATGTACGTTTTGGAAACTAGTACACAAGGCATGATGTGCTACTGTTTTTCGAGCAAGCCATGGGTTTTTGATAAGGTAACTTTTTAATGATTTCACAGCTAAATCATTTTTACGTTCTGGGTATGACGTTTGTTTGAAAACTTTAGACAAAAAAAAAGAATTGACTCCCAAGTTTCAACATAACACTTGGTTGACGGGTAAGGCAGAAACAACCGAATATGATCCAAATTGTTCTAAGAACATGTCACAGATCAGCGCGTTGAAATTTATGGTTGTCTCACTCACTCAGGCACAAGCCATAGCTTTACAACGGAATAGTTAGTGAAAGAAACACAGCGCCCAAGAGATCTAAGAAGTGAAATGGAAAATTGTGTACAAGAAGCTACCAAGTCGCTTTTAGTGGTGGTGAGGGACTCCTGCAGTTGTGAAACAGAAAGCAGCAGTGACAAAACTGGGATCCACTCAGAGCATGCATCCTGTCGATTAACAAGCCGAGAAAGAAAACATCGTGAGGCGGCATGCCCATGATGATCTCCATAAGCTGCTGACTTCTCCTAACATGTTTTGGCAGGCTCAGCGCCATCCTCACCGTGCTGTCCATTCTCTCATTCCCCTCCGATCATCACCTCACCCTGCTGCTCTCCTTGTCTCTCTCAACTACTACTCACACTCCGGCTCACCCTCCTCTCTGCTTGACTCGTCAGTCCCACTCTTGTTAAGTATCAGGACTCCTAGAATAGCATAGAGTGACATGATGCATCAACATTTCCTTAACACCCTTGCCCTCCTGCTTGCCAGCTTCATGCCCACTCTCCTAGAGTCCTAGCCAATCAGTCTTTTGTTCAGTGATCGTCATTCTCTCCCCTCGCGTAACAGTCATCTACTCTCCCCTCCTCCCTGGATTTCCCTTGTCTCATAGACTCTTCATTCATCCATCAGAATGCTCGTAGTTGATAGCGCGGACTCACTGTATCGGTGTGACATCCACTGAAATCGCCTTGACATCGTTGGCAAGTTGCTCCTCCTTTCCTCCTCCATCCCCCTGGGACACCTGCGTCATGGGAACCCCATTCTCCTGGGCTGCTTGTGGATTAATGCTGCTGCCTCCCTCCTCAACCTGTGGTCGCTTGAGCTCCACACCTTCCTCACTGGCTCTTGCGGGAGATGTGTTGCATGTCTTGGCAGTGCTGTTGCAGTTCGGAAAATCATGAGCATCTGCTTTCTGACCTTGTGCATTGCCATTTGCTGACAGTCGGAAAATGTAGGTATTGTCAATTACTTCGGTGTCTGGAATTTCCTGGAGGTCCTTTGCCAGAGGCCTCAGCATTTCATCAATTGCAGCCTTCACGGCCACCAGCTCCAATCTCAGGGATTCTCCGGTGGCAGCTAAACATTTGCTCAATTTTTCCGAGTAGCGGACAACACACTCATTGATCATCATCCTTTCCTTGTCGCCCATTTCCTTGATAAGCTTGACTCTCTCGAGCCTAATTTTCATCAAATTTTCTTCCATGCTTTGTGCCGTATTTTCACCGATCTCCTTCTCCAATTTGCTGATCCTCCACTCTACCCTCTCGAAACGTTTCATCGTCTCACCTTCAAATTCTTTACTCCATTCCTCATCCATCGCCAATTTACTCTTGAGCTCCTGGTGCATGGGTCCTGGAGACCATCTCACGCAGATGTGTACATATCATGCATCATCTTCACACGCAGCGATCAATAGTATCAACCATAGACAAAGGTAGAGGAAAAGGGGACCGAGTTTCACTGCTTATATTATTAGAATTATGAATACAAAGTGTTTCAAAGTTCCCCTGAGTCCAGCGCTCATCAGCRCTATACCAGTCTCTTATCAACTCATCAATATGACTTTCCGTGAATCAGCGCTACTCCTGCAGATAACCTCYAGGTCATCAATGTGGTCACCACTCATCAGCACCACCTTTGCAGCMCACATTCAACTCAGGTAAGTATCTTCCATAGCCGAATCTTGAATGAACACTCTCAACCTCAATCCCTTCCTCCTACGATGCATACACACCCTTCATTCATGAGGATCTAATCTGAATACTACTCRTAGCTACATACTAACCCACTACCACTAACGCTAACTTGCTGGGCAGCTAKGGCTGCATCACTTCCAACATGCAATCCTCTTCCCTCACTCAGCGCATCCGCTTCCTCCAGCGCTGCTCCTACTGACTTTAACGCACAAGTGCTCCAGCACTTCCACGCTGATACAGCCAGTGGAGATCTGGCGAGAAATGAGGCTGGCTGCCTCCTTTATACTCCTCGCTGGGTCTGCATTGGCTCAATTCAGCCTCTTTCCTTGTCCCAGACCCTGCATTGCATGTGTCCCAGTAGAGTCCCAATGAAATTCAACTGCTGCTGAGGCCTCCCGGCCTGAATTTGGACTTGAAAGTCTGGATCTGAACTGACCCCTGGACTTAGACCAGAACTGGGACTGTGCCTATTGACTTTACTTTTGGACAGGCACAACTCTCAACGAACAGACATTTACTGCTTGAACAGACACTTTACTTTGCATCAACAGGTACATTGCCTGCACGTACAGACACACCCTTACCCGAACAGACATGACATACACATCTCCTGGTGAACAGGTAAGTCTTTTGACAATGCCCTTTGCCTTAGCTTTAGATATGCCTGTTGATAGAGAGCTTGACCTTTGACCTGCTTTCACGTTTCTGAGCTCTGGCGAGATACCTTTTCACAATGCTTTACTTTTTCAAGGCCCGTGCTGCTTTATTTTACAAGGCCTGAGGCCTATATCGGGTAAAGGCCCCTTTACTCTCGCCGGCCTAAATTCGAAGTCCTCTGAGAATCATTTACCTATCAAGGATATGAATTCCTCTCTTTGCACTTTCGTATGCAGATACAATATGAGGTGCAGATTCTAACAGTTCTTCTTTTGTGAACCAGCGATCTTCACTAGGATCCTGGTATGCAAATCTCACCTGATACTGTCGTTGTGGTCTGCCCCTACGTCCGGTGTGGTAAGTACTTTCTGCAACAATCTTATCCACGTCATACTTCCCATCCATA